TATTGCAAAAGTTGGTGTTTTGGCTTTTTGTCCGAATACAAGTAAAAATTTCTAGCAGAGTGCCTGCCTGCTTATGGAAGATATACAGTAGATGTCAATTGATCTCGGTTATTTTGAGGGAGAATCTGACAGAGAGAGACAGCTCATCTCAATGACATCGAAAAGTCCCAGAAGCCACGGCATTTATAGGTAGAAATGCTCAATGATTCCACTCTCCATAAACATTAACTAAATTGATTCTTACTCGTTCTTCCCCAAAGTACAAAATACTGGCAATAGAAACTCTTTATCAAATGTCAACAAAGTTAAACTCTTACAACCTTGCAAATCTATCTAGCAGAATATAGCTGTTTGGGGGGTGTCTTGGCAGCCAGTGATCCTCTTCAGTGATTATTCTGTTCTCCCCCTTTCTCCTCTCTCACTCCTTTTTTTTTTTTAAGAGACAGACTCTCAGTTTGTTGCCCTCGGTAGGTGCCATGGCGTCACACCTCACAGCAACCTCCAGTTCTTGGGCATAGGTGATTCTCTTACCTCAGCATCCTGAGTAGCTGGGACTACAGGTGCCCACCACAACACTCGGCTATCTCACTCCTCATTTTAATACCTGTTGGAACCTCTTTGAGAGGAAGTCTCAGAAGGAAGAAAACTGAAAGTCAAATCAAGCATTTCGTGTTTTTTTTAAACAGCTCTCCTTAACAGTCAGTGGGAGGGGGACCAGTGACCCCTGTCTTAAGAGATAGTACATTTCAATGCCGGATATTTCCACCTCTCCCCATCAGCTCTCCCTCCATCAAGATTGTCTCCCTTCATTCTTTGAAGAGCTTACCACTTGCCTTTTTAAATGCAGTCATTCTCCCCAAAACTGTTCTGTTTAATTATTGATTTCAATATTCATTATAAATGGTCTTTCCAGTACCTGATCCCTTCAGATCCTTGTCTCCAACTGTCTTAACCTCTACCCTACCTTGGCCACTGGCACCCAGGATCAGACCTTGTATCAGTTTTCCAGGGCCGCCATAAGAATGGGAAACTTAAGCAACAGACATTTATTTTCTCACAGTTTTGGAGGGCAGAGGTCCAAGATCAAGGAGTTGGCAGATGTGGTTGGTTTCTCAGAAGGCCTCTCTGTTGGGCTTGCAGATGCCCACCGTCTCACTGTGCCCAAACACGGTCTTTTCCCTTGGCACCACATCCCTGGTATCACTCTGTGTGTCTAAATTTTCACTTTTTATATGAACGCCAATATTATTAGATCAGGACCCACCCTACCAGATTGTTTAAACTTTATCACCTACTTAAAAGGTCCTATCTCCAAATGCATTCATATTTGAGGTTATAAGAATTGGGGCTTCACCATATAAATTTCAGAGGGGATATGATTCGGCCCATAACAAGCATCTAGACCTTGTCTTCAGCAATTCCTCCCACTATAATCCCAAAGTCCAGCAGCTCACCCTCCAATCTCTACGCCTATCTTTCTAGTGCACTCCCTCTCTCCGCTAACCAAAACCATTAATTCTTTAGCCTTGCTGAGACAAACAATTTACAAGTCCAACTCCTCTTTTACTGTTCTTCACACTCCCTCATGCCCTTCCTCCCCTCCTGACTCAGTTTAAGTTCCACAGTTCATCACTACAATCACTCTCTTGCCTAAATATATTCTTGAATCCTTTGCCCATCTCCCTCTTCGAGGTACTTGCCTAGCGAGAGCCCAACCCTGGTTGACTCCAGTTTCCTTCCTACTCTCTGGTTACAACTCTTGCAGCTGAACTTCACTAGGGAAAACGCTCAAGCCTGCTGCCTAGTCTCACTATGGATGTCTGACCACAGACTCAAGTGGTCCATCAGCACCTGTCACATCTCCCCAGTCCATTCATTCTCCTTTGCTTTCCTAGCCAACGGTTTGAACGTCTCTCTTCCTCTGAACTGAACACCCTGTCCCCATCCTCATTTTCAGCTAATAAACTTCTTTCCTGTTTCACTGAGAAAAAGAAGTTCCCACTGACTACCTCCAGGCCCTTGCACTCGGTCTTCCCTTCTGTCTCCGGGAGTGACCTGTCCGGCTGCTCTCCCTCCCTGCACGTGCTCCCACACGTCTCATCTTCCCAGCAGTTCTCTCCCGGGCTGTCAGTCCCCACCTCTTCTCCCACCCTCCCTACAATACACAAACAAGCTCTCATTTCTCCCTTTAATTTTTTCCCCTCGACTCCCACGTTTCGTCTTTTGCTGCCTCATTTAACTGCTCTCCTTTACAGTAAAACTCTCCGAAGGAGTTGCTGCTTCTATTTCCAATTCCTCTCCTCCCATCCTCTCATGAACCCACTCCAGCTGGATTCTCATCTCTAGCCCAACAAGAAATCTCCTTTTATCAAGGCCATGGTGACCTCCATATTGATAAACTCAACATCCAGTTCTCAGTCCTTGAAAAGTACTTGCTCTACGGGCAGCATTTATAATAATTCGGCCGGTCGCTTCACTCCTTCCCCGAAACTCAGCTTTGAATTTAATTTCTGACTCGACAGCCATTTCTCAGCCTCCTTTACTGGCTCCATCTCATGTCTCCAAATTCAGTTCTGGCTGACCCAAGATTTAGTCCTTGGGCCTCTTGTCCATGAACACTCTTTCCCTCAGTGTCTCAGGGCTTTAAACATTTGTATGCTGACAACTCCCATATTTATACTCCATCTAGACCCCTTCCCTGAACTGTGTATCTGCACATCCAACCTCCTGACTGACATCCCCACTTGGCCTTCTAACCGATGTTACAAAACTCAGCGTGTCTGGAACTGACCATGTCATCTTCCTCCTCCGAAACTGGCTCATCCGGCTGCCTGCTCATTTCAGTTAATGACGTCCTTCTTCCCAGCTGAGCCCCAAATCATTTCATCTTTGATTTCTCTCTTTCTCTTAAACCTGCATCCACTCTGCCACCAAGTCCTGGTTGGCACTGCCTTCAACATCTATCCGTAATCTAGCCTCTTTTCACCATCTCTGCCGTTACCGTCATGGTCTGAGTCACCCTCATTTCTTACTTAAATGGTTGAGATGGCTTCAGAACTCATGTCTTTTCTTTCACCCACCCTCTTTACCGACTACGCACAGCATGGCAGCCAGAGTGAGTCTTTTAAAACATCCAGTCATTGCTCTTCCTTGCCTCACTTGGGTCCAGCCACAAGGGTCTCATTGCTGTGACTCACGTCCACCGCAGGGCCTCGGCATGCTTTCCATTCCCTCTGCCTGCAATGCTTTCCCCCGAGTTTTCTACACAGCTCCTACCCAACAACCTCCTTCCGGTCTTTGCTCAAATGGCATCTTTTCATTAAGGTCTTCCCTGACCCCCATGTATAAAACTGTATCCCTCCCTCATTCTCTGATACCCCTATCACCCTTCCCTGATTCATTTTAGACACATGTGTCACCACCCGATGTGCTATGTAATATAGAGACATATACATGTATCTATAGTACTGTTAGCCTCCTGTATAGGAGAATGAGGGCAGGGATTTGGACTTTCTTGTTCACTGACTATTCCCTACTCTTTGAAAAATACCTGGTCCATAGGTGGGACTTGATGAACATCTCACCTAAAAGTGTTATTTTCTTCCCAACCACCCCAAGAACTCTGCTAAACATGACTAGTAAATATAATTTTAGGTGCTTCTATATCATGAGGAAAAAATCTAATGCTCAGACTTTGTTGATGAACATAGATTAAAAACACTAAAGGAAAAAATAAATCACATCCACAAGGGGGTGCCAAGAAACCTTTCTGGAAACTGTAGTGCTAGTTTCCAAGGGTGGGGTTGGTTTGTTTGGTTTGAATCCACACGTGGCTCCAAGTATCTCAATTCTCTGAGAAACTGAAAGTATAATTTTAAAATTAAGCACAAGAAATAATTTTATTCTCTTTAATTAAAAGTGTACATGTTATAGAGTATTAACAGTTTCAGGAGGAAAATAACATTAAATGAAAAGACTTCTGAGCTAAATCTTAACCCTTCATAGATACAGAACTCTCCAGGGACAGAAAACAGCAAATGAGCGGATGGGAATTCCCATGGCTGTCCTGTTTTGACAATTCTGTTCCTATAACTGCCCTTTTTATTATTAATGATGACTTTCAGGCATTGCCAACTGTCTACGTGCATCTGACACTGTGTTTTGGATGCACAATCTTGCTTAATCCTCACACTATCATTCTAGGGAAGGTGCTGTTTATTCAATCGCCATTTCCCAGCTGCAGGTGTCAGAGGCTTAACAAAGTGAAGTCAGACAGGATCCCAGGGCACCAGCAGAAAACCGTGGAAACCAGGTGGAGCAATCCTTGAATTCTCCCCCACCGCTGCCTACACTGCCTCTAACATATTGGTGCCAAGATGCCTTCCCATGATGCTTTTCTCAAGTCATCATAATCAGGGGAGATTTGTGGCTCTTTAAATTTAAGGCACTAATTTGGAAGAGAGAATGCCTATATCCTTGTTTCAAACTTATTGCTCATAAAGTCTTAACTTACCCACTTTCATTTACCTCCTTTTTCTTACCAGTAAGCCAGGTACACATTCATGCTTGTTGTTATTTTTCAGAGTGGTGGAAATAATAGATGTAAACTCCCGGAAGGAAAGCTGTACTGATCTTGTAACAATAAACTCATCAGTCACTGTGTCTTGGTTTTCTCACCCAGCAGTCCCTTTCTTAATTTTTTTTTTTTTTTTTTTTTGCACCCCTTGCAATTGCAACCATGTGTGGTGACTAGTGAGCACGTACTAAGGAACACTGAGTGACAGACAGATAAAGAGGGTATCAAGTCAGGACAAATAGATTGTAAAATAAGCACCCAGGGTAGCTTTTTCCTCAACCTTCTGTCCAATGTTGTCTGAAACTCACCAGTTCCAGCCCCCCAACTTCCTTTTTAAAATGGGTTCAGAGTCAAACCCTCAGCACTTTAATCCACAGGAAAATGACTTATTTTAAAAAGCAGTGAAAACACCGCATTCCTTTGGCACAGGATGAAGACCAGCTCAGCTCTTCAGCGCTGGTCATTGTCTATTGTTCTCCAAACAGTAAACCACTATTTCACACCGAGACTGTCCTGCAGTGATAGTCCAGGTCCCCGGCTCCTCATGAATATGAAGTGAAGGGCTCTGACCCAGAAAGTGGTAGGTAATCTCGAAAAGGAAAAAAAAAAAAAGGACAGGTCGGCTTTATGTAATTCTATACGCTTGAAATCTCCTGCAGGTTCTAAGCGGGGCAAAATGGGGTTTCGGAAGTGTGGCGGCTGCCTCAGTTGTCTGCTGATTCCGCTTGCGCTCTGGAGCATGATTGTGAACGTATTACTGTATTTCCCCAATGGGCAGACTTCCTATGCGGCCAGCAATAAACTCACCAACTACGTGTGGTATTTTGAAGGAATCTGTTTCTCAGGTGTCCTGGTAAGTGTGACTTTGGAGACTTGGGACCAGAGAAGGGGGAGCGGTTATTAGGACTTGCTTTGTACTTAGGAGAAATAATGAATAATGGAAAAAATCATTCCACTGATCTCGGGTTTAGAATTTGGAAGATGGGAGGGGACAGAGGCAGGTAGTCTGTTAGAATTTGGGGCACAGCCTGGTTTTTGAGAAGCTGCTCAGAAACGCAGCTTCAGCAATGCAGGAAATTAGTCCCCAGGAAAGTTTGTGGGACACTGGCCTGTGAAAATATTTTGTCCTCATGAACTCTGCATGCCAGTTTAAACTATTTGATCTCCAGCGGGGTTACTCTTTTCCAGAGCAGATTTTCTGTCTGTATTTGTGATTTCTCTAGCCTGGGGGTGGGGCGGGGGCATTAGGATAGCACAGAAAAAGCAGAGACTTAGAGATTCAGACAAAATCACACGCAAATCTAAGCTCTGCCATTTGTGCCATGAGACCTCTGGAAAGTTAACTCAATATCTTTGAGCCTCAGTGTCCTCATTTGAAAAACGTAAATAATGACATTTACCTTTCAGGGTCCAATCGCCTAAAGTTCTCAGGACTTTAGCAGGTAGCCAGTGACTGTGCACTCCTAGAGCACAGTAGGCTGTGCTATCAGTTCCAAATACTTGCTAATGGTTCAGATTATCATTATGAAGGACAAAATCGTCCTCCATTATGCCCCTATTATTAGAGGGGGGTATGAAAGTTGAACGAAATGATCAGTGGTAAGAGTCCTTGAATACTTCCCTGACAACTTAGAGCTCTTTAAAAATAAACTGGCAGTAAATCATGTTGGCAACTTAGAGGAAAAGACACTTTTCCTGTTCCTATCCCTTCTAAACACAGTACACTGTGCACTGTAAACTTACTAGACCACCAGGGACGTCGCAGACAAGTCATTATGATCTATTTCTACATCTCTGTGGGTGTTTAGTAATTATGGTATTTGAATAGCTATTTTAGAAAGCGGTTTTCATTTAAGTATTGATTTTGCCTATTACATGAGTAAACTTTAAGATATTAATCTCCAGTGCTATTGAAGTTGCTACGTAATATGTGCATAACTAATGGTGGTGGCCTACCCAGAAAAGCAAATCCATTGGAGAAGAGGTTTGTTTGACGTAGCAAGATCTATGAAAATGCTTACGCCCTTGGACTTAGCAATTCTAAATCTGATCATTTACTTGGAGGAAATAATCCACTGTAAGGAAAGAGCTGTGTGCACAGATATTTGTGACAGCAAATATTATTTATTTATAATAATAAATAACTAGAAGCAGCAGCCTGCCAGAGAAGTGGCTAAATGGATCTTGGTACATTTGTTTCACACAGTAATGAAACTTATAATTATGAATGTGCAAAATGCATATTATTTTCTATTAAGTGAGAAAAGATGCGACGAAGTAGATGAATCATTATTGCAGTAAAACACATGAGTGGGAAAACACTAGAAATAAATATGTAGAAATAAACATGGGTGGTTGCAGTTATAAAAAACAAAAGAAGGCAGTTTCTCTTTCCTGCCTGAACAAACGGACGCTGTGATCTAGGTCTCATTTTTTTACCAGTATCATGATGAAGCTGGTTACTGTACTTCCATTTGATCTCAGCAATGTTTCCCTCAATATGTAATTGTGTAAATGGAAGAGTCTCAAGGCATAAATAAGATGAAAAGCACAATATATTAAAATTCGTAATAACTAGTGTTGTTGAAAGAAAGGGAATATAAGACATTTTTGCTTATATTTTATGTAAAAGTTAAAACTGGGGAAAGAACCTGTTCTTTAGTTTTCAATTTCTAGGAATGACTAAACTATATTATCATAACTGCATCAAATTCCTTTCAAAAATTGAGAGGAATATAGATACGTAATTAAATAAACTGAAAGATGAATACCAAGTGAAGGAATTTGGAAACTGGCTACAAACAGTAATATACAATGAACTCAGATTCAATATTTGGTAGTGAACAGTGAGAGGAAAGGATAAGTGGAGAATTTCCACACCTGCCATCACCAGAAATTATAGTAGTAGAGAAATCCGTGGTGTTCCCAGAGCTGCAGGCTTTTGCCAAATATACCAAAAGAAGTAGAATGCACTGAATTCTCCCACGCTCGTGGCTGGATATAGACAAAATACACTGACAAAAATTTGAGCCAGATATGGTTTGAATGCATGAAGAAACTGAACTTATTTTAAAGAGATATAGTTTCAGATTAACCGTGCCTCTCACCTCCATTCCAGAGAGCAATAAAGGGAGAGAGGCTGGCAAGCTCTGAACCCTGGTGAATGCAGGTTTTGCTCTCCAGGTGGTTTGCCCATCCCCATACCATTTACTTCTTAATCATTAGCTTCCTGTGATCGCTAGCTGTAATGATAATAGGGAACATTTACCAGTCACTTAGTATATACCAGGCACTATGCTCAAAACTGCATGTACGTTCCCTCATGACGACCCAGTGAGGTGAGTTCCCAGCACCACTTTACATGCGAGGACTCTCAAGTTCACACAGCTAGAGAGTGGCAGGGCTGGGATCGGACCTCAGATCTGCCTGACCTCAGATACTTGAAGCACTTTCCTTCCGTTCTGAGGGCGGAAGCAAACCAGGGGTCCAGCCTAACGTTTCATCTCCCTCCTGTAGATGCTCATAGTTGCAGGAGTTCTTCTTCTACTGGAGAATGATAACAACTACAAATGCTGCCAGGGTGACAACTGCAGCAAAAAGTACAAGGTGAGAGCTGTCGATTCCTGAGGAGGGTTGTGGGGCTTTCCTTCCTCTCACTCA